TCAATATAATAGATTCAATCCAACGTAATACAAGGGTGTAAAAATATGGATGGAAAATAGCAAAATAACTAAAAGACGTTATTTTTACCGGTGGAGGCGGATGAGAGGATGTCATTTTCAAAAGCCGTGGGACCAGTTGAGCGAAGGATGTGTCCAACTAAGAAGAAACAAGAATGGAAGGCAAACGCCACCTTATCATGAGGATTTCGGAAGGTCGGTCGTGTTGCCCCAATCACCGCCACAGCAAATGCTTTGTCACCATATTTGGTTCTTTTGTGTGAGAAGACAGTAGTGGCTGGAGGAATAGTATGGCAATCGATTAAGAAGAGTCTGAACACTTGAAGATTGAAGAGTTAGATGGATAGTTTTTGAGTTTGAGTGTGAAAATGAATGAGGTGATGGTTGTGTATGTAAGGAAAATAGCGTGTGAAAATAGAGATGAGGTGATGTTGAATGAAGATGAAAAGAAAAATTAGGGTTACACTAGAAAATTGTGACACATATTCAACAAAAGTTAGGCTCTTTTATATATGTATGATTTATTTTAAACAACCTTCATAAAAAATTACATTAGATTAGATTATTTTAAACACTTTTTAATTATATGAAATACTTTTCGAAAATTAATTAAAACTTGTTTAAAAGTAATTTTTTAGTTTCAGAAACAATTCTTGACTTTTTCAAAAATCTGCCAAACAGGCCATTATATTCTCTATTTTTATCTTTTAGAATATTTCGTAACTTTGTTTTTACTAATTTCGTAAGCATGATAGTTTTTTATTCGTCAGTGATTAGAAGACAATCTTCACCCATCCTCATAACCGATGAAACTAGCTCTAAGTCCTATGAATCTTCAGATGAAGATTCTAGCCCACAACAAATAGCCAGATCTGAAGCATTCAAATATAGGGCCTAACTTTTAGGATTGCAAATCTCCCTGCCTCTCTTGAGGATCCTTAGCATCAGAAATTGTGCTGCAAACTAAACGATCCACTAGGGAGATTTGCAATCCTAAAAGTCAGGCCCTGTATTTGTATGCCTTAGATCTAGCAATTTTTTGTGAGCTAGAAAGTATGCTCTGCTATAGTCTCTCTTGAGGACCTTAGCATCAAAAATTGTGTTGCAGACTAAACGATCCACCAGAGAGATTTGCAATCCTAAGAGTCAGGCCCTGTATTTGTATGTATCAAATCTGACTGTGTTTTTTATCGTATATTCTTGAGACATATCAAGTTGCAATTTGCTTTAATGCTGATATCACGATTTCATGGCTTTATATTAGTCATGTTAAACCAGCAATTTGAGCAGTAACAAAAGTGTGCTCTGCTATTGTCCCTCCTGAGGATCCTTAGCATCAGAAAAGTATGCTCTCATTGGTACCATTATACTAACATTTTGTCTTAACGGTACTTATAGTAATGATGGCAGTGATGAAAGCATGAAGTTCTAAGATCTTTGAATTTTAGATAAAAATTTTGAAACTTTTCTCTCCAATGTGAGAGAGGATAAAACCATTCAAAAAATCTTAAAAAACATTTTTATTATTTCAATTTCAATTTTTACTCTTTCTACTATTATTCTTAAGATATTACTTTTACAATTAAATTAAATTTTTAAAAATATAATGGGTTTGTTTGGTACTTCATTATCGAGTCAAAGTTAACAATTAAATTTAACTACATATTTTATAGAATCCATAACTTTTCAACCACATATTTCATCAAGTTTTCCAAAACATACTAAAAAACTAATTTTAATACCCACTGACTAAACTAAAGATGGGAGGATAAAATTTAAAAAAAGAAATGTGATAAATATGTCAACAGCCAAATATGTTTAAGTTGTAATAGTCTTCCTAAATCATGATTATAGTATTCAATAATTGAAATCAAGTTCTTTAATTGTTGAGTAACATTACGTAGCTCCGCTGGAGTTACAACCCTAATTTATGTAACATTAAATGATAAACTAAATGAAAAAAATGAAATTATTTAATTTTATTTATCATTTAATGTCACATTAGCGCTATTGCAGCTTTGGTGGGGTGAAATAGCATTACTCTTAATTGTTATTATAAGAAATAGGTTTACCTTACTCATTATTGTCAACTTAACAATCAATTAACTAGAATTTGTTGTCAACAAAATGAATTAGTATATGTAAATTTTAGTTTACGTGGCAAAAAAAATTAGAAAAAATTTAATTTAAATAAACATCATGGCGACAACAACAAAAAAATTAAGTCTTAATTACATTTAATTTAGAGTTTACATCAATTTATAAACGTTGACACCAGACAAATATAAAATAGTTTACTTTTCAGCGCCCAACTGCATGAGATGTGTGCGTATAGAGAATGAGTATTGCAAAATATTAATATTATAATTTGAGCAAGAGAGTGACAATTTTATCTATTTTAATTTTTAAATGACTTGGACTGTTGACTATTATATAAGAGGGTTTACATTGTTTTTTTTTTTTTTTTTTTTTTTTTTATAATTTTTAATACTGTAAATAGAAAGTAGTCATTAGGATTTTATATTATCAATAAATAGATAGAGTTGATAGAGAAAATAGGGTGTACGAGTTCTCTATTGTAAACTTTTTTCATCATAGTGAATTATGTATCGACGAAAGAAGACGTCGTGTCAGTCTGAGACAAAGCTCTATAAATTTTGAAAGTTCTTGTATCTTTAATTTTCTTTCTATGATTTAATCTCTCAATAGTATGCTTTCATCAAACCTACTTCTACACGTGCTCTTGCTGTCATTATTTTATCATTATTATTTTCTTTGCCAACTACTTAATGGGTTGGTGTACAACATCTTCAACTCTCGGTGGATTACGTGCATTATTGAATAACAATTATTGCAATACACAATGCATCGAACCCATACATTTATTTTATTTTATTTTTAGTTAATGTTAATGTTAATATCAGTGGTCAGCCTCAAGACGCCAAATATGAAGAAACAAGGAAAAATAATTTGATCTTGATTAAATGGTCTATACATTGTTTTAGATATGTCATAATGACTAGAAGGAGATGATGTTGATCTATATGACTCGAAAAGTTAAGTTGCAATTGATCACATCACCTTCACGACATTCAATAATAACGTGTATATATCGATGACGTGACTCTAAAATTCAAATTACAATTGAGCGCATCACCTTCACGCCATTTGTTAGTGACGTGTATTCACGGGACAATTTCCATAGTTAACAATATTCCTTTAAGACGTTTCATCATCTCTTTGTAAAAACAAAAAATTGGGATGAAACGGCCATTCTTAGATGAATTAACTTGTTCCGAGGTCATTTTAACTAGTTATAATTTTGTTATATTTTACATTACCAAACTAGATTTCAAACTGTTTCCAATTTTAAAAATCGAATTAAATGGTCTAATGTGGTTCTAATAACATTGCTAATAGGTGGCTCAACAACTTTTAAATGCAACAATTAAAATAAATTAAGTCTTGTTGTTAATAAATTTGAATTAATACGTGAATTCTCTTTCTTACTACTATTCATTTCATTACTACATGCATATTAAATTAATTCTTAACTATTACAACTCACCATATTATTTGTTATTTGTTCTCACGAGTTCGCATCATTTAAAAAAATGGGGCTAAAAAAATCATCAAAAAAGGGATTTCCTTCCAAGAAGATATAGGTTTGGAAGTGCTAGACGATTTTGTGACACTATTTGATAACAGAAATAAATGTCACTGATATCATAAAGATACGATATTAAGATAATGCTATGCTAAGTTTCAGATTTTATTATTACACTAACAATTATAAGTTTAGAATGATGACATTGTCGGAATAGTGATAGGATAATGTCCTTATATCATGAGAATAAGAATAGTTATGAAGAATTGTGGTATGGTTTGGGGGATAATGAAAACAAAATAAAGAGAAAAAAGAGCTACGACTAAGTATAAATATTGACAGTTCTACTCTATTTATCGCATATCACCATCCATAACGATCTCACAGCCACGACATCGCGATCTCACCGACGAACCAGTCATGGAAGGAGTAGCTATAACGGCGTGCTTTACAGTGGCCAACTCCAAAACAAGAGGAGAAGAAACCCCTTAGTTCCCCCGTGTACATGGCTGCTGGTGGTAATTGCCATATGAAGAAGATGAGATGTCAATGGCGGTACAGATCTGGTGGCTGTTGGTGCAGGTCTGGTTGCAATAGCATTTCTACTGTAGGCGGTGATGGTAGTTGACATGCGCTAGTGGCATTGATGATGGGTCAGTGGTGAGATGGTTTGGCGTGTTGATGGTGGTGAGATGGATTATGGGTCGAGTGATGATGGTGAAGGTGATCATGGTGTTAGCAGAGGTGGCTGCCAACAATGGACATTAATAGTGGGGATGACAAAGATGACAACAGCCTAACATGGTATGTAACACACCGTGTTACTAAAAAATATGACACTATTTCTCTAATAAAAAACGTTGAACAGCATTTAAAAAAAATAAAAATAAAAAATTCTGATGTATCTATGGAATATAGACCTAGTTTCAAACAAGAGTGAAGATATAACTCTTCATCAATGTTGATTGAGGGCACAAGGCCACCAAGGGAAAGGAAAGGGAAAGGAAAGATCTGCCCTTTAAAGGACTTATCTAGCCAAAGCAAACAGAGTAAAGAAGCAAAGCGCAACTAGTTGCTCGGCCTTAGTCTTGGACTGCTCTCACACTTCAATCAATTCCTAACTGAAAGATAAAATGAGATTGAGTTCCATGAATATGCAGGCTAGAAAAATGCTATTTGTTGTTATTCCATCTATTTGTGGATCAAGGTTTCATCTGGCCGCATTGTATCAATATGAATCAAATAATCCATTGGGTGTACATTCAGAGATTATTTATGATGAGGAGGATGAATCTATTTTAGTAACATTTGGAAAAAGTAACAATTTAAAAAATCAATCACGGATGAAGAAGAAAGTAAAAACAAAAACCAAAAATGTGCAAAATGCTATTTTATTTTACTACCTCCTTGTGTCCAAGGAAGGCACAAAAACCATAAAAACCAGTTACATTATCCCTATTCCTGAAGTCCTGTAGTTTGTTAACATCTAAAAGTTCTCTCTCTTTTTACATGACATTTTATTGGCATAGAGGGGGAAACTCATCTTCATTCTTGAGGTGGAGGAGTGACTGCTCAGTAACCCTGAAAGCCCAAACCAGATACAACTATTCATCACATATTTTAAATGGTTGAAAAATATGAGGAAAAAAACTTTACATACCTTTCGTGCTTCGTCGCTGCTGTTGAATCCTGGTGTCCCGTTGAGATGCCTAGAGTCGTGTCCCAAGCACAAGATAAACCCGAAATCACCTCCTCGGCCAGGCTCCCTAAAGACCCAAACTCGATTTTAAATGATGCATCTTCAAAACCATTTGTATGGTTATCATCTTTCACTAAACGAGGAGACTGACAGCACACATCAGATTTCCCTTGGCCTAGAACTCTGTTGCTTGCTGGTGGGAATTCATAAGTACCGTTCTTAAAAGAAGTTGTCTTCCAAGCAGCAGAACTTAACACATTTCCATTGCCGCGATTCTGTTTCTGAAAATGATTGCGATTTCCGGGTGACTTATGCCTTCCCCTCCCATGTGAAGGTTTCTCCTTGGGAGAACCATTCTGCAAGACAGAAAGTAAGATCATGCTAAACCAAAAGGCACAGCAGGACATGTACTCAAATTACTAGCTAAAAAGTATACCATTATGGGAAAGTAAGTTCCTGTTCCTCGTGTTTTCTGTTTTCCTTCATAACCGAAAGCAGCAGTGTTTAAGGCAGTATTGGTACCATAACCCATGAGTGGTTCCACAAACAGCATGTTTGAATTCATCTGGGGAATATGACTCCTGTTGAGGGGCATTGATTGCCAAGCATTATCCCATGACTTCATATTTTGAATCCCAGAAGGCAGTGAAGGAGGATGGGATAAAGAAGCAGACAAATAAATCCCATTGCATAACTGACCATATAGTAAATTCCTAATTTGGCAGTCATAATCCCCACTGAGGTCTGCCAAAGGGTTCAAAGGTACGTCTGACTCTCCTGCTATGCTAAAGAGATCAATTTCTGCACAACTCTTGGATAAATTCTCAAAATTACTCATCTTTGGACTAGAAGAAGCAGAACGCACTGTATAGATGACCTTAGAATTATCCATACACCATCTATATGTATTATTCATTTCCACATGATTCTCCCTGCTCTCCAACCATGAAGTTAACCCGAACTTCTGATGAACACTATTTGATAGGTCACCTTGGTGCAAGTTCCCACTTGCCATGGTTCCATTCTCTACGGATGATTTGGAAGAGAAGTAATGAGATTTCTGGTAATGATTCCCCAAGACGGATGCACTATTATTGCTGCTTGATGTATAATCTGATGTGTTATGTTCAATCCTCAAAGTTGAATTAGATGTTGCAAGGTCATATGCATCCCCTGCAAGGTGGTGTCCTGAAGCGGGTCCATCAGCTGAGGAGCATGTTTCTGATTCCATCTCTGAAGTGTCTCTCATTGTGCATCTCTCTAGTTCATTTCTGAACTCCAAAGTGCATCTGTCTGAAGCCCCTAGACTATCATTCTCAAAATCACTGATAGATGATTTTAGAAGCATGTCATCCTCTGAGTATAATTCGGTCGAGGATACTAAAGACGTCGTCAAAGACTCTTCATCTTCAAATACTAAGGCTGAATGCTCGATAACACTAGTGTGATATTGCCCATGTCTTGCAAGAGTATTTGAGAAGAATTCACATATTTCATCAACAACTTTATCTCTTGGTTGCAACAGAACTTGACCAAGCTTGCGAGCCCCATATTTGAAAGCGCTACGTATACGGTAGAAATTACCTAAGGGGAGAAAAATCAAGAATATTAGCTTGAACTGAATAACTCTTCACATTCTTACAATCAAAAGTTTGTCCCAATATAACAGGAAGGCAGTACAAGAAATTAATGCTTACAACATTACGTGTTCATGTTTCCCCAAGAACTAAACAGATTCTTCAATCAGAAAATAATGCATGACGATAACAGCCATTGTTGTGGCTTCTGGTTATTCAAGCAAATTCCAAAGATGTGTGGGTGCTGCAATTCTAGAAGCTAGAGAAGTGAAAATTTTTCATGCAGCTTAATTAAAGAAAAACTAAGGATTCATGCATACCAAGAATGAGAAAGCGAAGGTGGAGCTCAAGAAACAATGAACTTTGTTTTGAAAAATTTCTGCTCTTGCAGTGACAACTGTGGTAATAGAGCAACCACAGCAGTGAAAATGTGACATAGATATGTATCTTGAAACAGAAGCGGTTCAGGAACCTATGTTGAAGTCGGAGAGTGCAGTAACGGTAAAGTGAAAGTGAGCTTTTCTCAGAATGTTTTCACTATGAAACTATTTATCATATAAATATTTCAATTTTCAGACTTTCCACCTCGACATCAGAAGAACATATTTTAGCAATGCTTTGAGCGCAAGGATTTCCCAACAAAAGAATGCAAACCCAACACGGTTCAATCTTGTATTACTCTAGATTGGGTCAAATTGACAAATGAAATGTTTTCATTTCATTGGCACGTGAAACTAATAATCCCTCTATTTTTTTAATGGATTGTTCTGAAAACTGAAAAATTAAAGGAAAAAATATATTATTTCTACCTAATAACATCTCATCAGACTTCCCACTGGAAAATCTTAAACAAATTGAGCAAGAATTTTCCTTACCTCTGTGCACACTACGTCCAAGGTTATTATTTTCCTTCAGCGGGTCAATTATATTAAGATTTTTAGGCTGAAATGCTTTTGGGATTGTCTCAAGACTCTGAGTTGAACCTGAAAACATTCCTATACATTTTTCTAAAAATTCCTCACTAAGCATCAGGTCCTTCGGTCCATCCTCTGGCATCATAACTGCAAACAAATCAGAAAAGTGAAGGCTGTGAAAAAGATTGAAACTAACGGAGAGAAAAGAAAATTGCTAGTGCCTAAGGGAGTAAATGTGGTGTAGGTGTGCGTGCGTGTGTGTATGAGAGAGAGAGGGGTAATTGATGAAGTGAAAACATTTTTAAATAATCAAGTGCATTGCTTACCCACTATATCTGGAAGTGATGATATACGAACTGGCCCTTTCAAACTTATGCAGTAGTTCTCCCAGTCAAATTGGCTAAAATATTCCAAAAATTTATATAGTACCTAAAAATGCTCATAATTTTAATAAATTGAACTTCATGAATACATATGCATACAGAGTCAATATCTCATAGTCAAGGTAATTACCGCTAGAGGGCCATTCAGGGATGAATAAAATAGATGGAATATATAGAGGACAAGTGTTTCTAAGGCATAAGTAGATATTAAACCATGGTGTGCACCAAGAATACGGCTCTCGTAGTAGCACCAAGCTTTTACCAAAATAATGCTACGTTTAAAGAGATGATTTTTCCCGACAAGACGATCAACCTGCATTTAGAAACAGAATCATGAAATATTCAACAAGCATTAACTACTGCGTGCCTATAGAGTTTTACTCACATGAGAAACTTGACAAGTTTCAAGCTGTGCATCACCCAACATTCTTATTGTATTAAGTTATTTTCGGAAAAAATTATTATAGAATTGATGAGGAAATAAATGAATGGAATTGGTCCTCTCTTAGAAAGTTTTATCTATCATCTACTTCAAGTTTATATCACTAATTAAAATCTGGGAATATGAAGAAGAGAAAATAAATTACAACATCATATTTAAAGTTCCAGATTATATATACCATCTGCAAACCACCATATTAAAAAAAATAAAAATAAATAAAAAATAAGGGGTTCACTTGAGAATAACTATAGAAATTTAATAGGTCAATATGAATTGATTAAGTCCAGAAATCAGAAAGGAAAGAAATTAAAACAAAATAAGAAAACAGACCGCTTTTTATCATTTTTGATGGGGTTACAGATAAACGATATGTGCCAAACTTAATTTACCGATTAAAAGTACACCACGAAACTGCACGAAAGGTTTTCCATTCAGCTAATTTCAGCTTCTTTGTGACAGAGAAATACAAAACGTTTAGTATATATAAAAGAAATAATGTTTAATTGTACTTCAAATGAATGGCATCCAAGTGCCCCAATTCGCATATTTATACATTTCAGAACTAGCAGTAAGGCTTTATTTCTACCTGCTCAAGGAAACAAAGTGTAGAAAGTCCTCCCAGCTGATTAAAGGAAATATCGATCACAATGTTCTGCACAAGGCATTTCACAATTTTCACCTGCCATCGGAAGCACATGCACTCAGTTCAAAACCTCAGAGTACCACACAAGTAAATAGGAAAGAGCCACCTCCTGACAGCTTTTGGAAACATGTAGAAAGAAAATAATATGCAAGTTGGACGATAAAAATAAAAAATAAAAATCAGATGCAGCCTTTATCAAGGTGCAAATAAGCAGACAAGTAAGACTACCTCAGCGTCTATAAACTGCGCATCCTTCACTTCATACTCTGCATTTTCATTTAGCTGCTCCCCCTGCAGAATACCAAGAACATCGCGTGCCAAAGATTCCTCGACATTAAGACTTTTAAGAGCAGTCAAGTCGATATCTCCATCAGGTAAGTATGTCTTCAGAGGCACAGACCCATAGGGAAAAGTCTATGACAAATAAAATCCAAGTTAACGATATTAATCCCCAAGCACTTCAATAAGTCAACGATGGACGCAAGAATGACAAGAATAAGACTATTCAGAATTAATACATATGAACCATTATCTTGAATTATTTAGTTGTAAGGATCCTTGAGGCTTCCATAACACATAAGTTTAATAGGATGCCATGGAGAAATTAAAATAAACAGAATTGTAAATAGGAGCAGAAAAAATAATAATCCCTATATTTCAACCCATGAGCATGTACAGAATCTAGGGATTTTGCTCATACGTTGACTTTGACTTTAGAGAGACGACAATCTTCGATTAATTAAAACAGAATTCCGAACTTTACAACTTAACATTCTTCTTGTTGCCACGACACCATTACTGCACCTGCAGTTTTATCGCTTCATGATTTTGTTGCAAGTTTAGTGATTCAAAATTAGGTATAATTATTTGAATCTAGCACAAGTGAATAGACAATGCAGAATCTAACGAGTTCAAAATCCCCTTGTCCCAGTCTGAAAGGCAAACAATCAGATATTGCTACAACTTCAATAACTCATCAAATTATATAGATCATAAGACAAATACGCCCTTAAGGTCTCTAAATAAGACTTTACACAGTACACCTGAAAAGCAACGCATTTTCAAGAATATACTTCAACATTCCACGCACCGGTAAAGTATATAAATAATCACACAAAATTCAATTAAGATTCAGCAAACTGAAATTAACCAAATCACTCCAGAGAGAAAAATCATCGTAAAAAGTTTTAAAAATTAAATAAATAAACGTAGTAAATTGAAATCAGAAAACGTGTGATCACCTCACAGTCAAGATGACGCTTGATTAGCCTCTGTACATAATCAATTACGTCTTTTCTCTTCTCCTCTGAGTCAAGAGTTGGGTGTATGCAATTCATCACTTGCTCTGCCGCTTCCTCTGCCGCTGCAAAACACTCATCGGTAATTGAAGCCGGATCAGGTTGCCTCCGACCCGACACAGAAAACGAGCTGAAAGGGTCATCGTCCACCAAAACGCCGCCGTTCGAACTCACTCCTCCAACATCACCCATGTTATTTTTATTTATATGTATAATTTATAAACAAATTTCACTCCAGGGCTTTATCTTGGTTCATCATTTTTATCAAGTTGCTTCCATTGTTGTTACACAAAAAACAGAATTCTAGGAAATGAAGAGAGAGTGAGAGAAAAAGGGGTTTAGAATTGGGGTTTGTGTGAATGGTTTATGCGGAATTTATTGCAAATTGTAATAATCTGCTGCTTAGACATATACATATACATATATGGGAAGAAAATAAATAAGTTTTATAGGGAAAAAGGAGAAAAAAGAGAACCAAAAATTCGGAGATAAGACAAAAAGGGCTATTCGCATTTATATTCTTCTTCTCCAAACCTCTCATCCTCCTTCAGTTAATTGCAGGCGAACTCGTTTGTCCTTATCCTCCTACCCCTTTCTCTCTCTCCTCTCTGTCTACATATTAATATTATTATATATATAGTTTTGTATATAGATTTCTGGGTTTTCGTTTAAATCAAAAAATATCTGCAAAAGAATGGAAATTCTTGTCGACGGGACGCGACGAGAGGGAAGCGGAGACAGGGGAGGGAAAGGGATTTAGGATATGAGAAAACTATATTTAATTGTTCCTAGGAGGATAGGGAACAGAAAAACGTCGTCGTTTTTTGCGGTGATCCAAGGGTTTTAGATTATTTTATTGGGCTCGGTTACGGCTTTGTGGATTTTGTAATTAATAAAGTGAAGAAAAACAATAACAATTTGAAACGGAAGTCACCGCGTTGTGATCGGGCCCACACCCCCTACCCCACACACAACATTAATTTCTTTATATTTATCCACTCATTTTAACAATTTAAAAAATCTTATACGTGTTGAGTATTTAAGCACGTAATAACGAATGTTTTGATTTTTTTCCGATGAAAATCGATCAAACTTGACAAGTGAACTTAGAGTTAAATATAATTTATATTGTCTCATATTCTTTGCCAGACAACCTACACATCTACATAGATGATATGTTAATGAAGTACGCGTTACCGGAAGAAGTAACATAATAAATTAGATAACGACAAATGATCTTACGATTTAACAGAATTTATATTTATAGTATTTTTTGCCAAACGTACCCTAGCTCTACACGTATAGTATGTCAATGAAGGACGTGTACGACAAAAAAAAACTAGTTTTTATCAGAGGACCCACAAATGGTGCCACACCAATGTGGGTCCCATAGATTTTTTATCTACAAATTTTTTTGGTCCCCAACTTATTTTAAGAAAATAAAATTTTCATGTGCAAAAATGTTGACATGGTGTCAACATAATTTGTGGGCAAAAGATTGCATACACGTGTGGCAAATCGAATGGAGATTTTTCAAATAAGATTTTCTAAATCTATTGTGGGTAAACTTAGTCTTGTTTGGTGACCATTATTTTCAATTTAAAGAGTTTTAAATAATATTTTTTGAGGAAACAATACACTCACAAAATTACTAGTTTTTATCAGAGGACCCACAAATGGTGCCACACCAATGTGGGTCCCATAGATTTTTTATCTACAAATTTTTTTGGTCCCCAACTTATTTTAAGAAAATAAAATTTTCATGTGGAAAAATGTTGACATGGTGTCAACATAATTTGTGGGCAAAAGATTGCATACACGTGTGGCAAATCGAATGGAGATTTTTCAAATAAGATTTTCTAAATCTATTGTGGGTAACTTAGTCTTGTTTGGTGACCATTATTTTCAATTTAAAGAGTTTTAAATAATATTTTTTGAGGAAACAATACACTCACAAAATGTGGGGCCAGCGATTAAAATAATTATGAGCCCCACTCATACATGTGAGAGAACTGTCAAAAGTGCTGTATTTATAGCACTTCTCATTTTTTTGAGAAAATGTGTGGGTAAAAAATAAGGAAAAATTTTGAGTTTACGTGTAAAATATTTTATTGTATAAATATGTGATTAAAAATGATTATGTAGAAAAAAGAGTTTGAAACAATGGAAATCAAATAGGGGCTTAAAATTTCGAAGAACAATGCTAGGCTTACATGTACACAAGTCCATGTCAGGCACCACACATACGTGGGGTCCACGTAAAATTTTTTTTTAATACATGTGAGGTCCCTGCACAGTGAGGGGCTCTGTAAAACACCTCTGAGTAATGCCCTGTACACTAGACCTTATGCAATTACGAATTATGTCAATCTACAAATAAAATGATCTCATATTCAGTATTGAAATAATTATTACATGTACTTGCACTAAAATGCGTTGTGGGAAATTTTCTAGTTTGACCCGCATTCTCATTTTTTTCTCTCTTATTATCAACCACACAATTTTTCATAAAATAATATTATGCACAGACAAAAAACTTTTCATTCCTTTTCAATCACATATTTTTCAAAAAAACATTATTCCAATCATTAAAATTTGGAAAAAATCGCAACCAAACAGGGGCTAATCTCATGAGTTTCCCTTTTACCCAATTTGACTTTTCTTATCGAGGCTTGAGTACAAACCACGATGTTTTACTAGTAATATCAATTTATTCTACTAATAGCAAAAACCAAACAAGATTAGTTCAGAAGGGATCAATACTATTTATGATTTATAACAAATTATAACGTGTTAACTGCTATATAAATATTTATATTTTACTTTTATGCTTTCTTTATGTGACAATATTGTCACGATGGACTAAGTCGACTTGTTTAATTGGAAAAATATTTTTTTTTTCTTTTCGAGTTGATGTATGTCGATTTGTCATCAATTCGACTTCGATTCAACCCAAATTTTGAAGTCAATATGGTTTCAAATAATCCGGCTTGATCTTAAATTTTGGACCAATTGGATTGCGAGTTAGTGTAATAAAGAAGTGAAATTGGAAAATTTTGAAAATTACATCTTTGTAGAAATTGGAAACTTTTAAAAATAAATAACTTTGCAGAAATTGGAAATTTTGATAGGCAACAATGATGATGGGTAAAATATAGAATAAGAAGTATACATGAGGCCTATGTTTGGTACAAATTTTTTATAACTCAATTTTTCTCAAACTCATTTTTGTAAAATAATTTTGCACATTAGTAATTTTTTTTCTATTTTTTAATTATACACTCTTTAGAAAAAAAATTAATAATATATGTGTATATATATATATATATATATATAAAATCTTTTTGTCAGAAAATCTACCTTCATTTTCTCTCTTTAATGGCAGGTAGAAGTCACGTAGGTTTGACTTTTTTGGAGGAAATATAAATTTAATATACATATATGGCAAGTGTCCAATCAATATCTATTGTTTCAACTTTGATACCTAATATTCAATAAGAGCAAGAGTTTTAAAAATATTGATTTTAATTTTATACTATTCATATTCTCAAATATATTATAAGAACGTGATCAATATGCATAACTCTCATAAGACAATGCAATAATTAAAATGTCTAATTTGTTACGGAAACAAGACAGTTTTAGCCAAGATAATATATTGAATTGGACAAGATTTTCACTCTTTTTTCCGTTAATTTCGTGAAGTATTATTTAATCTAACGTACAAGTTTGTTATAATAGGAGTTTGGTTTGGTAAGCTATACAATTTCAAACAACACAAACTATTGAATCGGATAAATTTTAATATTCATCATTAATGTGTTCAATATTATTCAATAAGTATATCGTCGTAGTAATTTGTTCAGTACAACAAGAAGACAATATTGAGCCCGTGTTTGTCATCTTTTAAAAGTTTAAGTTATTTATTACAGTATCATTTTCCACCATACATTCATACTATAAAATATTCTACACATAAACCAATAAAGTTTTCTTACTTTTTAATTACATATTCTTCAAAAAATACTAGACAATAACTCATTATTTGCAAATAAATTCTATCAAACAAGCCCTAAATACGACAATCTACTAGATTCGACGAGATTAAAAAACAAGTACATAAATATTTATTTATTGTTATCTCTAATAATGTTAATTCTAACATACGGGAAATATCGTAACTTTTAGATAGGATTTTTCAATTGAAGTAAAGTCCAAGGCGTGCTAACATTGGACCAGTTAGCGACATACATTCCCTAATAACAATTTAAGATAGATATTTATTTTTTTATATGGACCAGTTATTATTGCACCCAACACGAGCTCCACAATAATGGACAACTGTCAAATATCTTATCTCATTTTTTATTTTTTATTTTTTTAAGTTTGGTATATATACACTTTTATTTAAATTGTCTATTATAAGTGTATGTCATGTTAATGATGTGATTTTCCTTCTGTCTATGAATTTACATGACAAAAAAGTTGATAAAATAACAAATTTTAATTAACCACTTAATAATTTAATCAAAAAGCTCCTGAAAAACATTGAGATAAATGAATTTCAAAAAAGTAATGTTATTTATTTAGATAGTTGGCCATTTACAATTTAGATAATAATTAAGAGATTGAATATCTTAAATGAAACTTATATATTCATGTGTAAGAGGTCTAATCACTCAGAGCATGCATGGTAAAGCTTTTATAAGATCATAAGACGTGGATCCTATAAAATGTATGGATAAGAAATAAGTAAATGTATATAAAAGTTGCAGGGTGGTCCTAGTGAATGTGTGGATAGAATAGAGTTTCATTAGTTTTTAAGCAATTATAAATTTTGTCAAGCGTGCACTTAACTGTCACCTAACTATTGACCATCAGATGATTTGAAAAAGTGATTATAGGTGTCATTAGCATCTTAAATGCGACTCATATTCCCACATTTAAGAGAGTCAATGCATTTTCGTAAAGTTTTTATTAAATTATAAGTTGTAAGTTTTACAAAATTTGAAGATAAGAAGTGAGTAGAAGTATGTAAAAATTATGAGTCCTACCGAATATGTAAATAAAGACAGAATTTGACCGGTTTATGAGCAATTATAAAATAAAGTTTTTTATATGACTTAATTATCTCTTAAACCATTGACCATCAAATAACATTATTCTCATTCGAAAAGAAGTGAATAAGCGTAGGTAAAAGTTGTTGAACCTACTAAATGTGTAAATAAAATTAAAGTTTGATATTGTATAAGCAATTATAATTTATAAATTTTACCAAGCATGCTCTTAATTGTCACCTAATGCTCACTATTAGAAGATTTTAAAAGTGACTCTAGGTGTCATTAATGAGACTCATATCTCTACATTTAAGAGATTCAATGCATTTTTGGTAAAAATTTTATTAGATTACAAGTTGAAAAAAAAAAAAAAGGAATATACACTGCAAGCATGGTCACAAACTAAAATAAAAGTTGTCAAACCCCCTTTTGATTTAAATAAAAAAATATGATAAAAAATTATGTTAGAATCAGAAATTAATTTTAACCACACATTTTATAAAATCCACAAATTTTATCTTTCAATCATACATTTCATCAGTTCTATCAAAATTTATTAAAATATAACTTTTAACAAAATCAAAACGCAATTAAATGTCCATAGCTGAAATGACATAAGAAAGTCATTACGTTCAATAAGGTGAGTGCGACGAAGCAAATTGGGTTGACCGCCAAAGTTAAACTCGTATATTTTACTTAAAAGTAAATTTATGCAT